CCCCCCCCCCCCAACTACTTAAGGGTTAATTCTGAAAGTCACTGACCTACTGTCTCTAGTAAATTAGAGAAAGAATTTCTATTTCTAGTAAGTTAAGACAATAGAATAGACCTACCATTCAGAACATCTTAACTCACTAAGACCAACGAATACGCAACAGTCACAATAAGAAAGTTTTCATTTCAAGTGATTAATGTCTTAACTCGAAACAATCAATTCTCTAAGTCATCCAACAGGCGTATCAATGCACGATCACACGTCATCCTTGATTGCTGAATAGTTGTTTGACAAACTCTTATCAATCAGGCAAAAAGAATGCGACTTACATTCATATGCAAAGTCTGCATAGTTAATATCGTCTTGGTGACAGTGTTATTCTGCCTTATCTTATTAACGCTTGGCGATCAGCTAGACCACAGAGGCAGAAAATAGAACCATTAGTAATACAGCAGTTCAGAGGAAGCTTAACTAAAGACTCCTTAAAAAATCAATTACGTATTTTAAAAGGCTTATCTTGTTGATTTATATCTCCCTAAGTCCCTATTATTAAACTACTAGTGATCCCTTTGTTTGAAGAACATTCCCCGGATCAACATCAGTACTTTGTTGAAGTGAAGTTGATACCTTTCCAGAACAAGAGGAAGACGATGAGGGTCCAATCCCCATTCCTGGATTTCCACCGCCAATGCCCACTGAAGCAGAGGAGCTGTCAAAGGGTGTCAAATCGGAGGCAAATGAGGCAGAAGATAGGGGTGGTTGCGGACTACCTGCTGCCGACCCCGTCGAACCTCCTGATTCACGGTCTTCAATTACCAGATCGATGGGGATCTTGCTTTTGAGACAGGCAATGTAACGGGTGCAGAAGTTGTCGCAGAGTTCGTGAACCTGCGAAAAAAATGACTACTATGAAAATGGTATTAATCTAATTACCTAGTCACTTCACAGCCTGATTATTAATACTACTACAATTATTGTTATTTTAGTCGATTGATCTAGTGAAGGGATTATTTACTACCTTTCGAGAGACTGGCATTTAACCACACGATTGATATTCACATAAAACATGATAAATCCACGAAAATTAACTTCCTATTACAACTGCTATCTTAATACTCTTATTGGCTTCTAGAACGGAGCAACACCAATTTGAACTATTAGTCCATCAGAGACAAGCAACGATTCGAAATTCATTTGGGCGCCTCAGAGAAACAATGTTTTTCCCGGGTATTGATCAATTTAAATAAATCCAATTAACTCCAGTTTCTTTTTGGAAAAGGCAGAGAAAGTAACTAAATGTACTTTTAAATAAAATGAAAAAATCTGGAAAGATGACGATATATGCTTGGAAAATCCGTAAAGTGTCCAAATCTAAAGTTCCCGGTTAGGGGTGTGCGATTAACTTACCTCCACGTGGTGCACCCTGGGCAACGTATAATCATACGGCAAAAAAGTCTATTAACTGGCTGTTGACCTCTGACTTCAAACTACCATGACCCCACTGTATGTCATATTCGACCCTTTCCACAGTACTCATCTAGCGTTTTCCCTGTCTGTGTCTGTCTGTCTCTTTTACGTCTTTGAATCGCTCTTCTTTTCCCCTGTCAAAATTTTCTCACTTTAATGTACCTCCCTTCTGTGAAGCCTAAAGTCAGCTAAAGGGTTAATGATAACTATCAAAATGCCTGTCATTTGAAATAAATAAATAGTTCCCAGTTGAATCAACTCTGTGCCAAAAAATTTCCGGATGAGTTGAAAGACACTTACCCCAAAAGTACACAATCAAATCTAAAACCTAACTGTGGCCCTTTTCAATTCTCATTGTAGATATTCATTTCACACACACACCCCGAGTATATGACCAACACGTGAATTAATCCAACTTGACCTTTCCATGCAAAGAAGTTCCGGAATGTATTATTTCTTCCAGATATCCTAGTGAAACCAGGAAATTATTAGCAGCATTTTCAAAACTTTCACCTGAAAGGGGTTATTAAAATGGATTGAATCAAAACTTGCCTTTTAAAAGGCAATTATAAGTCATTTTCCCATGGTGTTAAAAGTGGAAACCACAAGTGAATGACATAGCCAGTGGGGGAGAGAGAGAGAGGAGAGCTCACATTTATTTATTTCGGACTGCCTCAAACGAGATTTCTGTGCGTGCGTTTCCTGATTGTACGCGCGGAATCTCATATACATACCACCAGCCGTTTTCGTGAGTGATATAGGGTAGGGAGGAGGGGGGGGGGGAAGGGGGGGGAAGTGAGGAGAAAAAACCTGTCCCACGCAAAAAGCTAATCTATCATGCCTTTGGAGGGGATAAGATATCACGCACTTCAACTAGACACATGTAAACACACTCCCCAAATGAAATATGTACCCCTCACACCTTCTCATACCTTTTCAATTTCCAGCAAGTGAAATCGCAGAACGTGAATCGCTTGGATCATCTGTAAAGAGAAAAAAGTCACGATTAGAAACCTAGCAAGGCCGCTAAAATCAAATAACAAGTAGAGTGAACTTACGAGGAAGTTCAGCTCCTGATTTGATGTCAATAGGGGTCTGTTGGAATTACTCATCTGAAGAGGAAGAAGACAAACTAGAATTATGGGACTGCTTAGCACAATGACAGATGGCTGGAGTGAGGCAAATAAAAAACCGGGTCTAGACATATGGGCAGGAAAGTAATCACTCAGAAATTTCTTGTCAAAACACTTCTCTTTTTATTTACCTTGTTCTAGTCAACCAATCAGTTTGATGATCAACAATCAAATTATAGAAAAGCCAAATATCGACTCGTTTTCACGAAGTACACCAAATTGTCTAATTTGATCCACTTAACTAACTAAATGTTCAATAAATTTGTGACCCAATGTAATTGGTTCTGGAATTGGCAGACGTGAATTTTCTCTAAATAGCGAAACAAAAAACAATACAAATTGTTGCGATCAATAGTGGGCAAAGTTGTGGAGAATTAGTAGAAGGAGAACACATAATTAATGAGGTAGGCTAACTCAAGGTGACATCTCCTCCACTTGCGGTGGGAGGTGGGGTGGGGGGGGGGGGGGGGGGGGGGGGGGGGGGGGGGGGGGGNGGAGGGGGCTGGTGGTGAATTTTGTTGTTTTCGTTGTTCTTTGAGCTTCTAACAGTTAGCAGACAAGAGAGTGAGGAGTCAATGGGTAGACTAGAGAATAGAGCAGAAGAAGGGGAAACCTTTCAAGACCACATGGATAATTAATGTACCCACCACCGCCTTCACAGAAAAGTGTAACTCTCCCTTCCCACCCCTCGCACTTTCCATCACCTCTTGCTCACCACCGTGTTTAGACCTAATACTGCTACATTTATCCGATTTTTTTCACAAACGTTTCATGCCTTGGGAGAAGTTTCAATCGATTTAAGCATCATTCGCCTTCATTAAACTAGGGGAAATAATTATCCACTACCCTTGAGGTTGAAATAAATTAATCTAATTACGATTTAACGACGGGGAAAAATCAGTTGATACCCACTTATGTTTCGTTGCCAAGCCGGTTAATGACATACTGAGCCGAGGTAGACTATCAACGTAATGATCGACAATTATTGATTTTCCACCCAAATCACAAAAAAATAATTTTAATGATATTTTGAGATTAATATAAACTAATATTACCCCCTCTTCAAGAAATTCATTATATAGCCACAAAAAGAAACATTGAGAACAGGAGTTAGATAACATAGATTCTATTAATGATAAGGCATAAGTGGGTTCGAGCATACGTCAACTCAACTTCTCGCACATCCATTAATGACTAGGGCTAAGGGGAGGGAGAGGGGGGTGGGAGGTGGGGGGAAGGTTAGAGGTACGAGCGGGGATTAGAGGACGAAGAATAAGACAACCTTCTGCTGCCAAGACTGCTTCTAGAGACACTTAGTAGTACTGTGTTTCGCTAATGGAAGTACATCCTATTAAAAGCGAATTAACCACCTTTTCCATGACTCCGCGTAATCGATGCTTAGTTCTCCAAAAACCTAATATATATTCGTCTCCTGATTAATCCTTATTCAACTTCCACTTTTTCCATTAGGTAATTAAAAATTATGAGTCATGTTGATGAGTGACATGCTGTGAATTGATTGAAAGAAGGAAAATGAGTAAAGGCAAACACATGGAGGAATCGAATTTGTTGAAATATGGAATTTCTACCTTGATAAATCCTACTAAAATACCAAAATATCAAAATTTCTCTACAGGAAAAGGAGGGGGGGGGGGGGATACGAGAGAGCTCATGGATATTTGACAAGTATATTTGCCTGTGTGTGTGTTAACGGGATATCGCGCGACTTTTATTTTAAACACAGAAGTGCAAACTTCCTTCCGATGCGACTTATTAAACACCGTTTCAGCAAACCCGAAAAACGAAATAAATACGCTGTGAGGAGTCATAGCTTTTTTGCCCACAACTGCTGTTTAAAAGTAAAAAAGCGCACTAGTAGCCCGGACTTTTCAAAATTTTTGTTTTTATTTTTCCTATTTTTGTGTGATAAAATTTAAATTCTGGGGAAAACAATTGGTTTTCAACTGCTTTTCATTACTGTTGGAATTATTTGCTAAAGAATCGGAATCTGCTAATCTGGGTTAAACCAGAAAAAACTCCAGTGAGGTCTTTACTGTATCCATATACTGAACATAAATCATATATGACCATTACTTTAAATTTGTTGGTCAGCAAACGCAAAACATCTCGAGAACAACCTCGAACTCAGATATTAGGCCATACAAATTAAGCTTTATAAGAAAGAGGTAGTAAATAACAAGGACTCCAAACATCCTAATTACATCTTATACCTCTATGCTATCCCCATAGCAAAAATTACTTAACTGTCTTTTAGCGACTTGTGCTCAGGTGATATATAAAGATTAAAGAAACAGAGCTTTTTTTATTTTTCCATTGCCAAAAATAGCGTTATAGGGGAGACATAAACTTTGTTTAGTTAATGAGATTTCGCTATTGGAGGTAGGGCGCTTTAATTACTTCTTATACTTGTACTGTATATACTAAAGGATTATGGACAAAAATAGAGCTATCTACGAAAAAAAAACTAAAAAAGATATTAACTAACTTTCCTTAGTTATTCGACAAGCCGTTTCTCGTGCAAAGTCAAGTAAATTTGGTCGTTCTATTGCATTCACATAACGATCGATTTCAACAATTCTTTTCAATTCTAAATGTCAAAAACAGCATGAAGACACAAGAACAAATAAAAAAACATTTCCGCATTTTTTTATTTTAAATCTGAAATTTAGGGGAAAAATGAGGCTTTTTAGACCAAAACCCTGTTATTTTAGAAAATTTAACCATTGAAACGAGAGAAATTCTTTAGTAAGTAAGGTCACAATTTCTATATATATTCAATTATTTTTTTTAAGTCTAAAACGTAGGATAAAAATAACTTGCAATTTTTTATGAAATAAAAACGAATCCCGGAACTATTGACAAATAAGAGTAATTACCAAGTAAATAGCCAAATTTTAATAAGTGCAGTTCTAAATGATGAAATATTTCCCACGAAAAGTAGATGGCTAAATTTAGCTCGAAAAGTAGAGATTTTGGTCATAGTTTTAAACCCAAAAAAATGCAGCTCGAATTTACTTTCGTTTTGCTTTCGTCTTTCTCCCCATTATCTCTCCCTCCGTCTTGTGCAGTGACCGCTGAACCGCAAAAAAGCGCACTCCAAACTTTTCACTTATAAAATTCCCTTTTCTCTTTCTCTCTCATGTTTTTTTTTGTTTTGCTCAATTTTTGTCGGTAAAGAGTTGGGGGGGGGGGGTGAGGTGGGGTGTGTGTGGAGTAGATGGGTCTATATTCACACATGCAATTTAGAGTCTCATTCCGAGAGTAGGAAGAAGCCATAAATAGCAGCATATCAAAATCAGAATTTGCAAGNCCCCCCCCCCCCCCCCCCCCCCCCCCCCCCCCCTAATTTTTTCTCCATCCACGGCAGCAGCATCCTACACACGTCGGATCTGGTTAACTTTGACGACTGTTGGTTTTCACACATGCACACAAACACACACAATCGTTTGCTCTACTAACAGTTCGACTGGTTCATGGGAAGAGGGAACTTTACAATTGACGGATTTTTCTGACTAATGAAACACGAGAAAAAAATAGTCAAAATGGTAACGTTCCTTAAAGTACCAATTGGAGTTCAAGGCCCCCCCCCCCACCACCACCACCACCACTAACACATTAGGACGATAGTGGAATAGATTAGAGAAGTTCCTTTTCCTGTGGTTTCTATTCAAGTATGGAGTTATAGTTGTTGATGATACTCTACTAACGAAAATTTGTAAAAATAATACCACTTGCCGCTTGAGTTCAGGAGAACTCAAGTTACCTTTGAAAGACGAATTGCCACTCCTACTAACTGGCTTCGCCCTGAAAACTATTCAACTCCTAGTGCAGATAGCATTACTGATAAGAAGTATAGAATATAATCTGATTTGTTAACACCTGACCTAAGAAATGCGAATGCTAATAAAAGTGTAATTTGGAACCTCGCATAAATTGTAGTATCTTATTGGTTTTCACAAAGAGACCAGACTACCAAACCCAATTCGTCAAGCATGCACCTATCTCAGAAAATTCCCAAACGCACAAATATCCAGAAAATGCTCATAGGTGAGCACTTTAAACACAGGCAATATGGATGCGAATTCGGTCAGCAATGTAGAGGCTAATGATAAAAAAAAACTATGTCTTGAATAATAAAGCGGTCGGCGGTGGTTTGAGGTATAAGTGAATCCTATACAAATGAATGAAAGAAGGGGTGTGCGATAGACTTACCTCCACGTGGTGCACCCTGGGCAAAAATGTCTATAAACCGGCAGTTGACTTCTCACTTCAAACTACCATCACCCCACGGAATGTCATATTAGACTACTTTCAAAGCACTCACCTCACCTTTTTATACCTTCGTCTTTGAAACACTTCTGTTCCTCACCCCCCCCCTCTCACTTTGGTGTTCCTTCTCCTCTGTGAAGCCTAAAGTCAACTAAAGGGCTAATGATAACCATCAAAACGCCAGCCACTTGAAATAAATAAATAAATGAATGAACGAAAGAAATTCATTTTCTCTTGCGTCTGTGTTCTTCCTTTCCTTTCAAGACTAATTATTCATATATTTTTCAGATATAAGTGGCATGGCAACTAGTTAATTACTAATTGAACAAAATATTATTTTACTTAATGTTTTAAGTAATTGAATGTGCTTTAAATATTTAAAAGTAATCTTTAAATAAAATGGAAAATTTCAGTTCCATACCCAATAAATTGTTTTACTCATGGAATAAAAATCCTTCAGAATCACTATTAAAATTTTAAATAACTAAAGCGATAAATTCAAACAAAGGAATGCGTGTGGCTTGCTAATTAATTCGGCTACAAACATAGGACAAAAAAATCTATTGGATAATTTCAGGACAGCATTGGTTGTCAAGCCAACCCGATAAATAGAATAAAAGCATTGTCTTTAGAGGTAAATTAAAAAATATGATAGCATTGAAATTAAGAGCCATAATCAAGGGCAATAAAGTCATTGAAAAAATAATAAAAGTTAATTAAGTATGGCCTCTAGATGTATGTTTGATTATTCTATAAAAAAACTTTCTATGCAAAAAATAATAAGTAAAACATTTCATGCAAGTTTCTATGCAAAAAACCACTACTGCAAAGCAGAAATTGAAGTTTTAAAGAAAAGAATGTACAACAAAAAATTATGGACCAAATAGAATGGTACTTCTGCACCAAGTGCAATGAATCCTAACGAACCTCTTTTGTGAAGACAGCGATGTCCTCCTGGAAGGAATCAGACGAGGAGATATCCATTCCTCCATTCCGAAAGCTGCTGTCCCTAGGAGTGCACGTCGCCAATTGACATTTCTCAAAAATTAACGCCAAAAGAGGGAACAGGGGATGACTAGAAGAGGCAAAAAAAAATCGATTAATTAAGGTCTAATATGTATATGATCATGCGTGCTGGGTACCTAATCTTAACTTCCAGTTAAAATCTTGCAGACAATTAATATGAACGATTAAAAGGCACGATTTATGTGCTCACCTACTACCTATAAAGTAGATACAGTAATGTTGCCTTTCACTCAAAATGAATACTAAAAATGTCTTTGGAAATAGCCATTAACGCCAATTAACGACTGACAGATCTGTGAGAACAGCAGTCCTATGTTCAGCACAGTTAATCTAAATCGTAATCTTTCCTTCGGTTCGAACCTAGAATATCCAATTCATTAAAAGGTGCATACATCTAAGAGGACATAGTATTTAAGATCTGATATCCAAATTTCCAATTCCAAGAAGTGCTCGAAATGCCGAAGTTATGAAACATACCTACTCCTAATTAGTTGAACGACTTACTTGTGTAACGCTTCAGTATCCTTTTTCAGATCACTTCCAAACTGTTCGTCCGATATTGTCAGTTTTTGCTGAAAGCCACCAGTATGTCGAATGTCATTTATGTAGGAAGAGGAGGAATGATGAGGGTGGGGAATATCCAGTTTCAGGGGTGAATGTCCACTGCTACTGTTGTTACTATGAATACTGTGGTTCGACGTTGAGAGTTCCGGGTTCGATGAAGATGGGGGCATCTGTGGTTGTTGCTGGATTAGTGATTCGTCCGATTTCATTGTGGAGGAAAATGTTGAAGGGGTCTTGGAGGGAGTGGGTGGTGTGTCTCCATTAGATGTTTCGAAACTGGCCTGTAGAGGACTTGTCGAAGTCGTGTTACCTGTCACTGTTGTTGAAGAGCTAGAAGCCTCGTTCTGAGAGCAATGGGATGATGATACTACGTTTGAGCATGGCGAACTGAATAGCTAGAATCAATACACAATGATTGCTTACTCTCTCTGTTCTCAAAGCAAAGAGCCGAGAAATATGGAACTGGTAAATTAGAGCTCTTAATAAACCTCTCCAATTAGCTATGTAAGAGGGGAAATCAGCCCTCAAAAAGGTCACGCTTTGTTGCTACCCCACACATCTAATTCCATATCGGTGAGACACTTCGGTGGCGAACTATTTTGGTCGGGTACAATTTACCCTAACGATAATGAGATGATAAAGACAACTTATCAGACAGACAGGGCTTTCCCAGCACAAAAATCAATATCATTTCAGAACGTCGAACACTTACCAATCATCTCCGTTTGATTACAATAAAAGCTTCCCCAGTGTGCAAAATAATATTTTTACAGCCGCCTAAACACTAAATTATCAACATTTTGTAAAAAAGGTACAGCTTGAACACAAGAATCGAAGTTGATACGCTTTTTGGTGATTTGACAACTTTACTCTTCCCCGTTTTTGGAACTCTTCCGAGAATAAAATTAAAGAACTAATGAAGCGGTCAACTTGACTTGCACCATATAGTGGCCTCATTAGCCATAACCGTGACATTTTTCTTTGAAACCAATAGATATTTCTTGGCCCGATAAGTTAAAATGTAAATTATAAAATTAGAAATGTAAAATTAGGAAATGGCTAGACTAAGCGAATTAAACGAGCCCATTACAAACGCAGAAATAAATTCGGCGAAAGCCACTGCTCTCTGCTCTTTTTTTGGCGTGAAAAAAGGTGTCATTTCTCTAAGACTGCCAGTGACTACTAACATTGCTGTTGCTGCTCCAACTGCAAGTTTCGATTCACTGACACACGAAACTAGAGGGCAGAAAGGGGGGAAGGGAGGGACGGTGTTTGAGAGGGGACAGAAAGAGGTGAGGTTGGGGAAATAATCAAGTTTAAAAAACTGCTTTGGAAAGTGATTTGCTTAGCCATAGAGCTATGCAAGTTTAACTGAATTTGGTAAAAACTGATAAAGAGCGGTTCATAAAGAATCGATATTTATCGACTGATTTTACTCAAATGCTCTCGATAAACTAGCTTATCAATTGTAATTCAATAATATTTGCACATTTAATCAGTTGAAAGAAGACTTCAGATTATCGTAATGAAACTAAATTTTTGCTTAAAATTCCTAATTTACTCCGCCTATTCAAAACTGAGACAGTTCTACAAAGAACGCCTTCACAAATTCGGATTTGTCATATCGAAGAAACAGGAACGTTTCAAGAGTAAATAACTTTAAAAAAGCATTGAAAAGCTGAAAGCCAACAATGATCTAAAAAGCTAAAAAGTAAATGTAAAGCAAACGGCAGGCGGAAGCATTCAAAATAAAAAGACCCACTGGAAAACGGGAAGTAAATGCCGAGATGTACATTTTCGTCATAAGTATTTCAAATTTGAATGGATAAATCCCATGAGTGTGGAAATTAGCCCAGAAGATAAATCGTACTCTTTCAAATCTAGAAAATGTGAGCAAGAAACAATATGAGGAGAACAATGCCCTCGTTCTCAGATTTTACCCAATTCTCCCTTCCCCTCTAACCCACTATCAAATTAATTTATCCATTCCCATGTTCAGACTCTTCTCGTGTTGAAAATTTAGCAACCTTACCATGGAATATTTTAAAAACAAGAAGCGCGAAGGTACTCAGAAAAGCAGCCTGTTTGAGTGTTTTTACTAATCAAATGAATTTTTAAGATTAATTGGAGAGTCCTTCTAATAGAACCCTGTAAGTAGATCTTGAGTCTTCAACTAGAGAATTATTCCTTACAAAATCAATTGACAGGTACCTGGAGGAATGCTTCTGAAAGTAAGCAGAAGCCGGTGCTCAAAAAAAATAAGCCCAACACTTCCACTGAATGATTGAAAGCTGCATACCTAACTATTTTGTCCTCGAATCCCCACAACTATCTGCCAAACTAGCCTATTTCAATCCACCGACTCTCCATTTTTTGTCTTGTGTCCTCTTTCGTGCAAGCACCACCAAACCTTTTATGTGCCGAAGATATTTTTCCCACTTGCAACGCAAATTAGTCTTTGCACGCAAAACCGCAGTCAATTCTTTCCTACAGCTCTGAATCGGCAGCTGTGTAACAGCTAGCGGATTCCATGTCAGCGAGAGATAGATATAAAACTTGCCGCTCATATAAATCCACTTTTACCACTAACCTGGACTGAAGCCATGAGGGTTGATCAATAATCGCGAATAGTAGCAGATCTTGCCATGTCAGTAGGGATGGTGTCAGCGCCTTGTCGACAGCTGTCAAATGCGAGGAAGATGAATTTCCAGACTGCCCTTGGGAGAGAATGATGAGTGCAAAGTGTACCAGATGTCCACAAGGTATATGTGCAAAGGGTACCCTAATCCAATACTAGTGCGTATGTGTATGTGCGTCCAATCTTCCGCATTGTTTTTATTGGCTACTTCTCGCTATCGCCTTTTCTCGCTTCTCTACCTCACTCTTTCGCTCTCTCGCTCTCTCTCCCTCAGCCACTTGTTTTCTCCCTACCTTCAAAATGCTGTCTGACGCGAATGATAGATTGCCCCCTTCACGCGTGCTCGCAAATGATTAACGCACATGCGTTCAAGCTATATCTCATTGGTTAACTTGTGGTTGGCCGCGTACGCGTATTCGTGGACAGACAGGTACGCGTTTGCGAACCAATCCGCATGCAAGCGAGATTTGTGTTAGTCTTTGGCGTGGGTGGAGACATTTATTGTATGTTGGTGGTGGTGGTGGCGATGCAATGAGAAAATTCGAGTTGCTTTTTCTTTCGTCCCTATTTTTTTACTCGCATCTGATTGACTAGTTTGAGCATAACGTACACTTGTTTAAAACAAATCCCCATGCTACTTACATGGGCAATTTCAGTAGATGTGACCGATTTATAAATGGAGTCTCTAGTTAATCTACGTTACGGGACTGTGTTTTGAATTAGTATTAAGCAGAAGTAAAAAAATTCTTAAGTTACACATGGAATTTGTCCACTTATTTGGATGAAGCTAGGATTTTTAAAAGATGAGGAGTTAAGTTTCTAAAAGCCTAAATTTTAGAATTTAAAGGGCAAAATGAGATGAACCCGTTTTACACTTTCTGCAGTAGTGAATCACCACACAGAGCTGTCAGAACTGTCAACTAAAGACGACGACGAGGCAGCAACATTGCAAACTTCGATTTTCGCTATTTTTCTAACCCCAGAAGTTGTCAAATACACAGTCCACTCTTAACCATTTTGCTTTGCCTTTACTAAGAGAATGTTGGTCTCTTTAACTGTCAATTACGGCATTTTTCTGTCATCAAGGGTCGTTTTCTTAATGCTTCGTTTGGGAAATTCATACACACATCTCTGTATTACTTATTTCCCACTAATCTGCATTTCCCTCTGTAGTTTTCCTCCAATAGAAATAACTGCACTTGTCGTGATTGTCCTTTCGATCGACGTTTTGTGCTAAAATTGATCACATAAGCACACTGAAATAATAATTTAGCAGATCAATATATAATGATCACGCTTATTTCAAATTCGGAAACTTATTCTGTTATGTACGTGTCAACATTTTATCAAAATCTCTTTAGGTTAATTCTACAACCGATCTCCAATCAATTAAGCTATGGATATCTTATCAGTTGGACAAGATGCGAGAAATAAAGAAATTCATCACCGATATGGCGTCATATCAATAATTCAATCAATCACTTAAAATTAATATAATCAGCAAATAGGCCAGTGATTTTGGATCCCACTAGTTCATCATTCAGCTTACAAATTAGCAATGACAAGATGATAGGATGTGAGCTCCCAATAATAGTGCAATCTTTCACTCAAACTACAATGAGAAATAAGAAAAAGTTTTTTTCAATTGATTTGGGAGCTCAATATACAGAGCTACTTGAAATGATTTCGCATAAGGGGTACTCAATAAACTTACTTCCGTGTGGTACACCATGGGCAACATATACTCATAAGGCAAATAAGTCTATAAACCGGCAGTTGACTTCAACTACCACTACCTCATTGTACGTCATATTCTGCCACTTTGAGTGCTCACCTTACCTTACCCTTTTCCCTACCTTTATGTGTATCTCCGCCTGTCACGTGGAAGACCCGGGTTCAATTCCCGGTCGCGGAGTGGCCTGGGGTGCGCGATAGACTTACCTCCACGTGGTGCACCCTGGGCAAAGTATACTCATACGGCAAAAAAGTCTATTAACCGGCATTTGACTTCTGACTTCAAAATACCATGGCCCAACTGCTTGTCATATTCGACCCCTTCCACAGTACTCATCTTACCTTTTTCCCTACCTTTATGTCTGTCTGCCTCTTTTACATCTGTGAATCGCTCTTCTATTCCCCACCCATCGACTTTCTGCTACTTTGATGAACCTTCCCTCTGTGAAGCCCGAAGTCAGCCAAATGGCTAATGATAGCTATCAAAAGGCCTGCCATTTGAAATAAAAAAATGTCTGGCTCTTGAATTTGTGAATAACTCTTCTGGCCCCCCTCCCTCCACTTTTTGTGACTTTGTCTGTTTCCTCTGTGAAGCCCGAAGTCAACTGAATGGCTAATGGTATCTACCATAATTGATGACTGATAAGTAGCTCCTTTTAAAAATTTAAAATTACTTATTGATATTTTTTAAATAAAAGAAAGTTTAGGAATTGGGGTTATACATTCACCAGT